GGATACTACATACTTGTCTGTGATGGTTAGCAATTCCTTCTACTGCATTGTTGGAATGCACTGGACCGATAAGAAGACTCTAGAAGATCTAGATCTTGTGGAGGATTTATTTTTAATGCGAAGACTTACAGACAAAAACCAACAAACTGGCTGAAGAGGCTGGCAGCGAAGACAGGACTCCAGATGAGCATATAGAAGACGGGAATGATGAAGATGATCAGAGAAAACCACAACAACAACAACAACCAACACCAATCACTATTAACAGAATAATTTTGAAAGAGGTTACTTTCTTCACTTATGTTGAAAGCACCGTTTGAATTACAGACGGCTAGCCGGATGAGGATGTTGAAACCAGAATCAGAAAGATAAGACAGACATACATCACTCTGAAATCAGTTTGGTATTCTCAAACAAACTACACACCTTCATTAACAGTTGTCTTCACTCAATACCACTCAAGATCAGATGGCCAACCAGAAAAGATCAGCAACAGAGATCTCTGGCAATGAGCGAACCAACACAGCAGGAACCGATTGTGAAACAAATAGGCAGGAAGAAATGGAGGGAGATGGATTGGCTGGCCATACTCTGAGGAAACAATCCATCAAGTGACATCACTAGACAAGCCATTGCTCGAGTGGAACCCGAAAAGGAAGCGGCGAGTTGGTCGTCAGTGTGAGGGTGGGTGACTTGGAGGAGGTCATGTGAAGAGCAGATGAGAACGTGTGGGCAGACTTGGAGCCAGGTGAAGACTGTAGCAGAGAACCGAACGCAATGGAGACGCGTGGCTGGAGCCCTATTTTCCTCTAGGAATTAAAGGAAACAATAATAATAACTTCTTTCTTTAATTTCTATTTCATCAAAGTATCCCTATAAACGAAATGATACGGAAGAGGGTGGGTAGACTGAGGTCTTCTTCTCAGAATGCTGTCATGTGGCCAAGCGTTCAGAGCCCCAGCCAGCTGAGTAGTCTCCTACTCACTCCCTTCACGCGACAGGGGTATTTCTCACAAAAGTCAAAGGGTGAATGCGAACTTTTGGTGCTTACAACCAGACAAGTGGATACGCTGGTCTACACCTAGAGCTGGAAAGCCCTGAATTCAGATCAATGGTGTACATGGGCTCCAAAGTCTCAGCGGACCAAATGGTTTATGAGCCTCTTTTGGTCACCGGAAACTATAAGGACTTAGCTCTTGATGGTCTTCTATGGCCTTGTGGATAAGACTTCAGGTCAAAGGCTCTGGAGACAACCATCTGCTTCTGTCTGGTTGTCGAAGCAGTATTACATCCCTCAGAGAAACTGTGCGTTTTTACGGGATGCATCTTTAGGTGCCTATAATGTATGAAGTTTGTGTTGGATAAATTCCATGATAATTAACTGATATGACTGGTAATACAATCTAGCAGACTACAAAAAAAAAAAAAACAACATGAAACTAGTGGGTTAACGAAAACTATTCACATTGTTAATCCCAGGAAAGCAACATCAAAAGGGAAAATCTACAACAGAACTTTCACCGTCTCTCAAACAACAGTCAAAACACAACTCATAGATACGCTAAATGTATCGGCTTTAAATGACCCTGATGAACACTAAATCCAGTGATACGTGTGAACAGAGTTAACGACCATTAAGAGTGGAAAGTACCAAAAGCGCGATAACTTCATTATCTAGTCACTGCTTCGTGAGAACACAAATACACGAATGTCATCCATTTGAAGGACAAGTCTTCTTCATTTCCAATTTCTGAAGCAATTAGTCCTGAAGAAAAATGACTGAAACCGGGCATAAGTTCAAAGAAATTAGCAACGACAATCTTGTACTAAAGATAGGTGAATTCAGTAGACATCAGTGTCACGAAGGATGTCTACGTAGGCCTTGCATACTTCACTTGAAAATGTTGAGTACTGTAAACGTCTAGAATGACAATGTGAAAGTACCACAATTTAAAGCAGATTTTGGCATTAAACCATAGGGTCTTTGACAGTTATTATTACTGTTTCCTTTAATTCCTAGAGGAACATAGGGCTTCAGCCGTGTGTCTCCATTCACTTCGGTTCTCTGCTAGAGTCTTCACCTGGCTCTAAGTCTGCCCACATGTTTTCATCCCCTCTCCACCCTTGGACGACCAACTCGCCGCTTCCCTTTCTCCAAGAGCTTCTCTACCCATGATGTGTTCCCTTCCTGGGTTGTCAGGTTTGAGTCAACCATCTAGGGAGGCGTAAACTGTGTGGTTGGGGAGGGATCTGTGTGTGTGTTCTCGGGATGCTAAGGATCAATGGCTTGAGATAATTGCTGATATGATTCAAAATTATTATTCACAATGCTGAGGATGTATTCAATCTTTTTAATCCCCTATATACACCATTAAGTCTTCATGTTTTTCCAAGTTACTTATTCTTTTTTCCGTACATCTCCATCCATTGTAGTTCTATATTTTTAATCCCTTTTTTTATCTATCCTTGTGTACTACAAGGAATGTGGCAACTTCAACAGTGTGTGTATTTGTGTGCAGAGTCAGTCATCAAGATTTAACTATCCACAGTTCAGACAATGTCATAAACCGTCACGCCTCTGTCTGTTTTCGACATAGAACTTTGCACATATGTGCGGCAGTTCAAGTCGCAACACACTCCATGTAGCACACAAAGCAAGACAAGAAATTAGAAGAAATGCATAATATAGACAATAAGTTGATGTGTGAGACAAAGGAATAGTAATATCGAAGAACAAAATAGTTTAATTGGAAATCATGAGTCACAAGGAGTGGATGCATCTGCACCAGCCATTGAGAACGATTTTGAGCTATGTCACCAATTGTTTCCAACCATTGGATTTTACTGTCCTGAGGACTCCAACCAGTCAGGAAGTCTACACCTTCCTATGTGGCTTAGACTAACTGTTGTAGATTTCATTGACTGATGCCAGGTTTTGGTTTGACAGCCGCTCTCTCTTTTCCAGCCTGACCATATATCAGCTAACATTGCCCGTTGGTCGAGGAAGGCGATGACTAGGCATACTTAACACATGTCCTAACCATCTCACAGCCTCGTCAACTGATTTCCCCGCCTTACCTAGCACTCGACGCCTAACCTCAGTATTACTCACCTTATTATACCACGCCTACCGTTTTAAAATCCCCCTTGGGCAGTACCCATCCACCGCCGATGATTCCCAAATTAGGATGAAACAGCAGCTGTTCAGTACTCCCTGTGGCTGGTTTTCAATGGTTCTCTAACTGATATCAATCCATCGTCAAACTCGTAAAAACAAATCAAATCTTTACAAATCAATTCTTGAAAATTGATCTGATGCTCTCTAGTGACTTGATACTGGACGGAGTTTCCTGGAGTTCTAGTGCGAAATAGTGACGGACAGGATGGAGTTTTCTGCAATATATATCATCATGGAGGATTTCATCATGAGCTGACATCAGTTAGAGAACTACTGGAAAACCTGGGAGTACTGGACAGCTGTTTCGTCCTAGTTTGGGACTCTTCATCAGTATGCATCCACCGGGATTCAAACCCAGGACCTCCTGGTTACAAGGCGAGCTAGCTCGTACACCATTGAGCCACTGGGACCCGATCCAATGGCCCTTGAATTCTAACTTCTGCCAATTCACGACATAGCGTGACCATTTCGCAATGTCTTCTTCGATGAATTACTGTCTGATCTTCAAACTGCTGTACCCTACTGGTCACGGCTTCCCACTAGAATCCCAGGTTAACTGCCTGAATAGGGCCAGTCACTAGTGAGCATCACGAAATATATCATCAAATGACACAGGTAAAAAGCCATAACTGTAAAATATAATTATTATAAAAGAGTTCATCTGTAAATTCTACAATGATTACAAGAATAATATCAATAATAAATTACATAACTTTTTAAATCAGTGCAAACTGAAAGACTGTTTCATCAGTAACGGTGTGAAAACTGTTTTCAATGAGGAACAAAATTATTCTCAAACTACAAAACAGAAAAAATATCAAAGCAATTGAAATGATTATATAAATCAATATTATTGATTTCTTCTCGATCCATAAGGGGAAAAAATCACCGTTTCCATATAGTGATCATTGATGACTAGAAGTCTAGTATAGAGAACAAGTAGAATCGGTGTAAAGCGTCCGCGCACATTCGGACACACACACAAAGACATACAATTGGAGTAGATGTCTTCAAAAACCGCTCACTCCAGCTAACGAACGAATTTTTTCATATGTTAGCCAAAATGTTAAAGACCAAGGTGCCTATAAAGGAGACAGACACAGAACATCAGTGGGGTGTAAACAGGACAAATTAGACATTGAAAGTTATTCAAACTATGATTGATAAACTTAAACTGGACTTATTGTTTTAAACAACACCTCCCCTCCCCCACCAAGTGACAAAATCAACACGAATGTGATAAGCAAGTTCACTATGTAAACACACACTACTTTTATAATTTTACACACCGATCAAATCGAACAATCCAGACTTGATTTTGTTATCTTTACTAATTGACCAACTTAACAACTAAAAATGACCCCAGACAGACGAACGATGATCAAGTTAGTAAACTTTATTTTGATATCATAACAGACATACTATTACCTTTGATATTTGGTTTAGTGATCTTCATTGGTATTTTAACTTTCAATATGTCCCTTTAACTTGACCTATGTTTATTTTCTCACCCCCTAACTCTTTGTTATCTATATGCTGAGATTTTGTAAATTCCGGTTTAATAATACTTCGATAAAGCTATTAGCATTAAATAGCGAAACGTCAGTAAAAACAATATCGTTTTGTTTTTCATTCATTGGGAAATACAAAACCTTTATTATAATGAAATTGAATATGACTTGATTAATGGTGGCTAGAAATGGAATAGGGGATGTGTGTTCTACCCTATCTTGGGACTAGTTGACTGGATGTGCATGCATCTCGAATGAGTGGTGGTGGTGGTGGTGTTTCCACTGAAATTCGAACTCAGCAGGCATTGCTTCAAAATGCCAAAGCTCCATACACACTAGAACACCAGGCCCCGGCAACTACTATTTGTTCAACAGTTATCAAAATAACTCTGATGAATTTAAGGAATATGAGTGAGTAAACACAAGAAATTTTTCCCCCGTGTTGTGAATCTGTTAGTGAACGTTTCAATCTCTCGTAATGTTAATATGGCATGACGAATTAACCAAACCACATCGATGGCATACAAACTTTATGTACATAAGTCCTCATACTGTGGTTAGAGCTGACTACAAGCCAAAATTGGGCACCACTAACTACCAATCAGCGAACGACCTTCAGAGGAACAATCACATGAAAGAGGCATTTTCGATAGAGGAAAACGTATATTTATGGGAAAAAGGCATAAAAACTGCATAAAAGTGTTACATAGGGTATCTTTCTCTAACATGTGACAGAAACATCTCCTAGTTTAGCATAGGAGTGTCAACAGGAAAGTCACACCACATTCTGTACATATATTCATCCAAATGACTATAAATGAGATCCTTTTGAGATCCATTTATAGCCATAATCCTGTTTTTCAATCTTCCCCAAAATCCTTCTATAGAATTTGTGTGTCCCTGTAATGGGATCCACAAAATCACTGGAATGGTTCACCCTGTGATGAATATATCCAAGAGATGACGGCGAGTTATAACCTTCCCATTCATCAATATGTACTATGGATCCCTGTTTCACAAATCTAGTAATAATAATTATTAAAGTAGTTGAATTTTTGTCTGGTATTCTCTCCACGAATCCTTTTTGTAGGGAGGTGTCATATAAACCAACCAACCAACCTTTGTTGGCTCGCTCACGACGACGGTTATATTTTTTCTTCAGTAACACAGTTTCGTCCACGTGCAAGACGATGCCTTCTCCGCCCAACAAAGAAGTAGTTCTCTCCATTTTCCATGATGCGATGTCTCTGCAGTGCTGGTACCAGTGAACTGTTGACACGAGGCTATTTTCGGTTTCAGCAACTGCGTCTCTCACAGGCTGTTTTAAAACCAAGTAGTTGCAAATATACAAAATCTGGGTTAGGGAGAGATGCGACCTAGCAAAAATTGTTCCTACGAAGTATTAAAATTATCGGCTTACCTTCCCTAATACTAACTCGTCTCAAACAAATTGCACAACGATGGACATATCCATCAATAGACCTGCTAAAGCTTTTTAAACTCATCACATCACCATATGAACAAATCCTCTCCTTCCGAAGCAACCCGAAATCCAGGCAATACTGCAAAACCTTATCCCTCTCGAACTGCAAGCATAAGTTCGTTAGAGCACGCTTTTGAAACGAAATGTTTATGTCCCCAATATTGGTGGTGAGAAAATGAGAACTAAGGCTTTGCGTAGGCGGACACAGTTAGCATATAGATGATCTGACACAGCCACAAAGAGATGGCAAGGTTAACCAATCAAAAGACTGTATTTTCTACTAACAATAATCTACAATAATGTACATTAAAATCTATGAATATGTGTTGATTTTCCTTAATAAACGATCTGTTGCCTGGCCCTTGTCTTCTGTTGTCACAATAATAGTAGAAAAGAACAACAACGACAATGTTTCATCAACTATTGATAAAACAAAATGGGTGATCGACTTTTCATCAACATAACTAAGCTCTGACGAGATAAAAGTACTTGCGAAATGATTAAATTTCAACGTGACAGTTAAAGAATTAAAACTATAAAAAAGGAAGTTTGTTCAATCATTAAATCTACAGTGAACCTGACCTATCTTAACACCGTAGACGTCATTTTTGTTTCGTCTTTATTCTGCTTGTTTGTTTCTTAATTGTGTAACATTTACTCTCCCTCCACATCCCTTGTTAACTTGACTTTTGATCCATTTTAATTTTAGTTGAGCTCTACTCAACCCTGTCAATTAGATTACGTCACTCAACTTGCTTATTTAATCTCATTTAAGTTTCTGACCCAATTCCAATGACACATTCTGCCAATTGCCTCCAACCATCTAATACCAACAATTCACAGTGCACCGTGAGGACGAGCCACTTAGTACGGTGGTCACATTGCAAACCTGACTGATAGAATTCAGTCTGTACCAAATAAAGGACTAAACACATCACACTAGTTACTAATATCCAATCAAAATATATGCGATTGTACACCTTGAGAATGGTATCACCGAAAAGAGTAACTCTTTGCTGAACGCCTTTTCATTTATCGAAATTTATCAAGGGAACCAAGTGAATGAAACGTATCTTTCTTTAAAATCAACCAGTTTTACTGTAAATTTGTTCTTTTTCGTGCATGTATAACACACACACACCGGTAAGATGAACAAGTCATTAAAACTCGAAACAAAAATTATGACATATCATAGAAAAGTAGCGTCGGTGGTTCAATAGTCAAAAGGCTTGCCAGTCATGCAGGATATCCATGTTCAACTCGCAGTCAGCGCACTTTTAAACCTCGCGTAGCTCATGTAGTAAGCCAGGGAGAAGAGGGAAGGATGGACATGAGACTAGTAAAAGGACAACACCATCATCACTGAAACTTCAAAGCCTGCCATGCAGTCTGTCTGTTTTCGACATAGAACTTTGCACATATGTGCGGCAGTTCAAGTCGCCACACTCCATGTAGCACACAAAGCAAGAGAAGAAAGTAGGAGGAATGCATAATATAGACAGTAAACAGAGGTGTGAAACAAAGGAATAGTAATAACGAAGAACAAAACAGTTTAATTGGAAATCATAAGTCACAAGGAGTAGATGCATCTGCACCAGCCAGTGAGAACGATTTTGAGCCATATCACCAATTGTTTCCAACCATTGGTTTTTATCATCCCGAGGACCTCAACCAAGAAGTCTACACCTTCCTACGTGACTGGCTTAGAATAACCGTTGTAGATTTCATTGACTGGTTCCATGTTTTGGTTTGACCGCCGCTAGCTCTTTTCCAGTCTGACCCTATATCAGCTAACATTGCCCGTTGGTCGAGGAAGGCGATGACTAGGCATACGTAACACATGTCCTAACCATCTCAGTCGGTGTAATTTCACAGCCTCGTCGATTGATTTCCCCTCCTCACCTAGCAGTCAACGCCTAACCTCACTATTGCGCACCCTATTATACCACTTCACGCGGAAGATAGAACGCAGACATCTATGATGGAAGACAGCTAATCTTTTCATGTCTTCCACTCTTAATGGCCAGGCCTCGCTCACAGCCATAAAGGAGGACGGAGCGGACTGTTGAGCAGTACACACGCCCTTTGGCCGATAGCCAGCCGGATATCACGTGTATGCCAGAGACGGCATAAACTGGCATATGCAAACTAGCCCTCTGTATTCGTGCTGAGATTTCGTCCGAGATCAACCCATTGGGGCTGATGGTACTTCCCAAGTAAGTGAAGCGGTCAACGTGCTCCACCACTTCACGTGCCATGGAGTGTCCCACTCGAAACGCCAGGAATGAAAACACAAAAAGAAAACAAAATTTGACCAACGATCATCTTACCATACGAGCCCATATTAGAAAGAAGCCTTTATACAAGGCTAGAAAGCCTTCATTCTTGACTACTTTACAAAAACAATCAATAACTCCTTTATACAATAGACCATTATGATTATTTGCAGGCGATGGTGATGACGACGGTGACGATAAACGTTGATTCATTATGCGTGTTTTAATCATATCAGCTGGTGTACCAAGAACTGCAGATACAAATCCCGAGGTAAGTGATGCACAAAAGTGGAGAAATGGACCATCCTACAGAAAAAAAAATTTAAAACTGATTAGAAATTTGTCCGCAACAGAATGCATATCCTAAATTCGTAGCTGTCCAGTCACCTGACAACTCCAGTAGGTCGAATAAAGCAGCTCAATCTTCAGGAAGAAGACAAAGCAATAAGTCCGACAGGGTGCTTCTACTAAACTCTAATCCTAAACACCATAATTTTGAAAATACGTCTAATCATAAAATTCTAGATACTAACAGTTTGAACAGACATGAAGGCGTGATGTTAGCTGATGCATAGGAAATCCTTATTAATAAATAAAAAATGGATATGGATCACTAATTATTAATACTTGGTCAAAATTCTCGACTGTCCATATCTTCTTATGGAGACGTTAAGAAATGTTTTACAACTGTTTACCCCCCCCACACACACACATACACACTCTGTTTAAAGTGTTTAACAAAGGTAGACCAATATTTGTAAGTCCGGGGTCAAATTTCGATCACAGCTCATAAAATTTTGTTTATTATACTTGTTGAATGACTCATGATTGGACAAAGGTTTTAAAAACAAGTGATGTTCCTTTTATATATAAACTTCTGTTATGTTAATTTCGATTAATTTCCCTGAAGAAGTTCGGATGAGATTTCCGAACGAAACGTTGGAATTACTCATTTCAATCTCGCTGAGATTTTACGAATATAATTTTTTACAAATGTCTACTTCTCACTCGGCGCCCGAATACTTTAGAACTATTCTGTCAAATCTTGACGACAGTTCATTTGAATGAAGGTTAGAAATATATGGAGAAAATCACCGTCAAAAAAGTTCTTCAGTGAATTTATTATTAATGGAAGGTGGGTGATAATTAGGTGAGTTTTGTCGGCTTACGGAAGTCTGTGAGCGATCGTTACTTCTTAAGCTGTCTGAAAACTAGAGACTGATTTCTTCTTTGAGTATGTAAAGCAAAAGAACTACTAGTATTGCTTGACCGAATGTCTCAGGGAAAAACTGCTTCAGGCCAGTAAAATACACAACCCTTTTCAAGGACAAGCTATCGGAGTTGTGTCCGTATTAAGGTCTTACCACCGACTACCTCCAAAGTGGAGAGGTAGCATATAACTGGCTTGTTGGTCATCTGATGGGAATAGCTTGCTTTTATTACATCCCTCCTACTCACCAGCAGCACAATTTCACCCACAGAATCCTGAACATAATGTGAACGACTTACCCTATGATGGTATGGAGCGTGCTACTGATAAGATTTGTGAGTAGTACACTCATATAGACAACAACATTAAAGTGCAATTAGTCAATTTCCCAACTGGATAATAACAGTCAATAAAATCGGAATGATGTAGGAGATTATTTCATGTAAGTGTTTGTGTATTTGACTGAAAAGCAAATAAACAGACAAAATGCATATGACACATTGATTCATGAGTACCGTAAAAATGGGTATGCGATTGGACTCTGTGTGTACAGATCCGAACATCATTGAACTGTACACAGTCAGTCAGTTATTCAAACTGGAGGACGATACTTTGGAATCACTCTTCATTTCGATAGTACAATATCACACCAAACACACTGTGTTATCATTTATGCACATCTGCTCTGAACTGAACAATCCTAGTGGCGCATTCAAATGCCATTCAAACCCACAAACTCAATTAGAAACAAGCTTTGTCGGTTAAAGGATCCTGTAGAGCCTTTAAAACAAAACAATTTAGTTTATCTAATACCCTGCTGGAATGATTGTCAGGTCAAATACATAGGTCAGAGTAGTAGAACTGGGGCAGTCAGACTAGCTGAACATAAAAACTTAGCAAAATCTAGATTGGTTGACCCGAATAAGATAAGAAATCGAGAGAATAGTTCAGCTATAGCACTACATGCAGTCACACACAACCATGCAAAAGGATGGGATAGGATGACAGTTTTAAAATCTAATGTCACAGGGTATAAATAGGGAGAGATTGATAACAGAAGCTTTGTTTATCGAATCAACTGCAAATACATGTAATAGGAATGATTCATCACCTGTCCCCGATATATGGAAAATTCTACTCCCCCTACGACAAATTGGAGAAAACAAAGAAAGCTATAAAACTCAAGTGTCAAAGTCGTGTGATCACAACTGATATGATTATGAACAATAAATTTTGTTCGAAATGTCATCCAGTAAATAATACTGTTTCACTGTGTGATATACCTAATAAACAAACTAATATGGAATTACTTACTACCACAGTGCCCAAGTTTTACACATATACTAATGGCACATCCTTGGGAATATTTCTTATGTTCCCAAAAAAATGATATCGCTTAAAAAGAGTTGCTCTTCACTAAACGCCTTTTCTTTTAAATGAACGTTTCACATTGGGTCAGCTGGGACAAGAATTTCAACTACAACTAACTAACCTATTAGTAGCACTTAATAGTTGTTGTAGCAGGTGAGATTTTTTGTGGAAATAAAATAAGAAAACATTTCAACTAAGCATGTTACATTCCTTTTTTACAGAGTTCAGACTAACCACCAGCGGCTTTATAGTGTGGCGGAATTTCTCCGTTTAATAACAGTACTAATAACTACAATATTATAGGGTGTAGGGTGGTGGGTTGGAACATGATTTAGATCGAATAAGATTCACAGCGTCAAATGATCTACTATTAATTACTACTTCCTTGAAAGATTTTGTACTGCGTTTAAGTGTGTTATCCAGCATAGTATATATTCCTCCATCCCTTACGTTCCCCGAGTGGAACATGCCGCTTCTAGCTTTGTAGTGCAAGTAGCGGTTGTCTGGTTTTTACGGAGTGAAGTTTCCGGCCCTATACACAACCCCCCTCCCTCCTTTCCAGGCGTATTACCGAGTTTAGGAGTGAATCGGTCAAGAATTGAACTCGGAACCCCATGTATCTGACGAGTATTCAACCAGTGAATCATCGACATATTAGTTGTTCAGTATGTAGAGCTATTATTATTTAGTTTCTGCAGCCAACTGTTGACCCATGAAACTTAACATGCGAGAGGCACTAATATCATTTAGCTAACTAAATCTCAATACATAAAAAAGAAGCTTTAAACGCTTGAAGTACTAAGACCAACGAATTGTAGCTTGTTAACATGTCTAACAATCTTTGTCTTCATCAATGAAAATCAGAAATAAATGTAGTCTACAACCTACCTCAAGACGAAATCGTACAGCAAACCAACGTTTAGCTGTATCATAAGTTGTCAATTCACCCATATTTACAAGTGCTGCACGTTGTACATTCGGTAAGCCACCACGCCATAATCCGAGAATTCCGCCTTCAGAAATAAGCTGTTTAGTTGTACGTATAAAACTTAATCGCCTGTAATAGAGGGGTAAATAAAGCGGGGTAAGGGTAATTCACTGTATGCAGTGATATTCAGTAGAATAATAATAATAATAAGCTATCTCTACAAGAAAATAATTCCGCAGTACTTCATATTTAAAAGTCGGTCTGAACGAAGAATATTCTTTCCAAAAAATTCTCTTCAGGTTCCTACGATTATGGAATAAAATAACTTGACTGATAGGAGCTCAGTCTGCACCAACATCAAGGACCAGATGCATGCCAACAGTTACTACTCAGTGTCCAGTTATAAAGTATCCAATACAGTTCTACAGGAGATCAGTCGCAAGCCCGAATAGCTTAAGGGTAACGTCTTTGACTGCAGTACTGGATGACGCCGGTCAGGATCTCACAAGAGATACGAATTTACTCAAGATTACACATACAGCTTGATAACCATTGTCAGCAAACATGAAACCTAGGCCAGGTAGGGATTCCTGCTGATCGCCTCCAGCCATCTGACAACAAAATAACATTTGTTATCTTTGCAATATTAGTCACTTTTTTATGTAGAATAACAGATTAGTTATAGGATAACAAAAAACAAATAATACTTGTACGAAAGACACCCTAAGCTCAATCCAATAACAAAATAACGTGAAATGCAAGACAACGATGACCGTGGTGATTAATCATATAATAGATGTATGCAATATGGGGAAGGAGAATCGACAATTCAGTTCAAGATTGTAAAAAGTGATTGGTGAGTGGCTAATACAAAGATAGCATGCATTAAACAGGAGAAGAATTAAAGACATGAGACGTTCTCTATGCCAAAAGAATAAGTTCTAAACGAATCTTGAATTCAAGGGTGATTTAACTTTTGATAATTGCTTGAGAAGAACGTTCTTTGCAACAACACTAAGAGTAGTGTCGATCAGTCGACCATTGGGGTTTATAGAAGCATGATAGACAAGATTTTGCGCATTTGACCATTTTTATGTGCACATATAAGTGCGACAGCTCTTAAATAGCCAGATATATTGGTCTTTCGATGAGCATTCTATCGAATAGGGTTCAAAACACAATCCCACATCGTTGCACAGAGGTAGCAGCAGCTTTATAAGGAGTTCAGTAGTTAAACACCATGTCGACAATGGCCCAGCAATTCCTTCTTCAAAGTAATCCAAAAAGTAAAGAGCAGTCACATTCAAAAAGAATACTCATTCTCCCCTTTTTGAATTGCTGGAGCTCTAACCATACAGACAGAGGAACCGAAGCTTTGAGTACGAAGTGGAATCCTTCAACTACTTAGGCTGTCAACTTTTTCTAACTTCTCCGTTGTTTCGAATTCTTACATAGTATGATATTTCCTTTGTTTTAATTTGCAACTTGACTACAACTCATCAGATAATTCACCCTACTATGTAATTCTATCATTATATATATATATATATATATATATATATATATATATTTGCAAGGCTAAAGATGGTGAAACGACTAACTTACTGGTTTTAACATAGAACTTTGCACAGATGTGAAGCAGTTCGATTTGCCACACTCCATGTAGCACACACAAAGCAAGAGAAGAGAATAAAGAGAGATAATAAACAGAAGTGTGGGGGAAAAAGAATAGTAATGGAAGAACAATAGAGTTTTGCTGGATGTTATAAATCACAAAGAGTGAATGTATCTGCACCAGTGAGAATGATTTTGAGCTATATCACCAACGGTCTCCAGCTCCCAATGATCACAATCAGGAAGTCTGCACCTCTCGACGTGGCTGGCTAGCTTGAACTAACCTGTTGTAGATTTCATTGACTGATAAGGCCTATGTTTTGGTTTGGCCACCACTAGCTCTTCCCCAACTTCATCTATTCTGTGTCAGTTAACATTGCCCGTCAATGGCTAGGAGGCATGCGCAACACCCATGTCTTAACTATCTCACTCAATCGATGCAGCTGTTTCACAACCTCGTCGATTGATTTCCCCTCCCACCTACCTAGCACTCGACCGAAGCCTAACCTCAATATTACTCACCCTATTATGCCACCCAACATGGGAGATAGGACGCAGGCACCTATGATCAAAGACAGCTGACCAGTCTTTTCATTTTCCCACTTTTAATAGCTATGTTTGACTCACAGCCATAATGGAGGAGAGAGAAAACTGCTGAGCAGTAAACACGTCCTTTCATCGACAGCCAGTTGGATACCACGTCTATGGCGTAAGTCGGTACATGCCAAATGAACCTTCTGTATCCGTGATGAGATTTCGTCAGTGATAAACCAGCTGGGGCTGATGTAAATTTCCAAATAAGTGACGTGGTCAACACGCTCTTCCACTTCACTGCCTATCTCTAAGCTAGGAATCGATGTAGTCCAGTTCTGTAGGCAACTGACTGAGCAAGTTTCCAACATAGAATTTCCAGCAAAGTGCAGCAGTTCAACTTGCCACACTCCATATAGTACACGACTTGAAAAGAACTATAACGAACAGAAATATTCAGGAGAAAGAACAATAGCATGGAAAAAAGATGAGGGTTTCATGGATCTGAGAGATTACAAAGACTGAATGTATCTGAGTCATCGAGAATGATGTGCAGTCATATCACTAAGAGTTTCAAGCCATTGGTTCTTACCATCTAGAAATTGTTGAAAAAAAAGACCTCTTCTCCGAACTGCTTGTTGTTTTTTAGAAATATGCAGTATAACAATGATAATGAAATTCTAATATTCAAAATCACTTACTGTTGACTAGTAGGTATTGCAGAAGGATTAACAGACTTATCACCACTGACATGAATTTCTGATAACCATCTCCGTTCTGTTTGTAAACGAACCTAGATTTTCAAAAAAAATTGTTAATAGAGAATATTAGATAATAAATCCAGCTAAATGAAATGACCTTTACCACTAAAAGAGACTAAAGTAGATGTGCAAAGATAAAGTTCCAGACAACGAGAGTTACGACGACTTTAAATCCTTCACAGAAGTGAAGATTAGTCCAAAATAGAATAATTTTTTATTTCACATAATACACAATGATATAGTATCATTTATTTACTGATGAGGTGTTCAGTTCAATTTACTGGTCATAATCATATCACCTTAACTGAAGACAGGATGGGTTTACTGTGCCAACTCGCATGTCAGATCAGATACTCCCTGATGACATTAGATGACAATCTGGCTGTATCGTCTGTCTGTCTGTCTGTTTTCGACACAGAACTTTGCACCGATGTGCGCAGTTCAAGTCTCACAGCCATAAAGGAGGACGGAGCGAACTGATGAGCAGTACACACGCCCTTTGGTCGATAGTCGGATATCACGTCCATCGTAGATTGATAGAGGTATTTAGTCCCCATTCATTGGCTCGCCTTGTGACCCGCAAGGTCATGAACTTAGCCCCTGGTTTTCGTCAAGGGTGTGTATTTATGAAGAGTCCCATACTAGGACAAAAAAAACAGTCGAGTGCTCCCTTACTGATTGTAGTTCGTGACCAAGCCTATCTCACAGTTATTATTCAACAGTGATTTATTCTTCAAGATACTAATATTTCCCTTTTTGACTGCACATATGAACACAGGAGGAGGAGATATAACTGTGTATGGATAGCGAAAGACAGCAACACCATCTTGAGGTAATAATGCGTCGGTGGACTCTCGCCAACCATGTACATGGTCCGGGGTTCGATCCCCTGCCAACGCACACTCGATATCTATGGTCGGCCTGCAAAATTTGGGCTACCGATATCCATGCTGAAAATTCCATACTTGTTCTGAAAATACGTGTGGCATCAAGCTGTAATCAAAATTAAATTAATTAAATTAATCAGAAAAAGAATTATAAAAATAGATAAGTGTTAATTTTCAAGTGTTGGCTTGCAGGGATTCGATAGATTTCATGTTTAATTTGCTGATCACTAGTGGCTGATGACTACAGGGTGAAATTGCCTGAAGTTCTAGTAGGAAGCCGTGATCAATGCAGTCCACCAGGTTTGGCATGAGGAGAGATATTCGCCGCTGATGTTGGCTGGCGGTCGCACTACATATCGCGAATTGGTAGAAGTTAGAATTCATGGACCAATAAATTCTATCTAAGTGGCTGAATGGTAAACGAGCTGGCCTTTATAAACTGGGGGTCCCGGGTTCGACCCCTGGTGGGGTCATGGCTGCATACTTGCTGAAGAATCTCAAGGCAGGCTGAAACAGCTGTTAAGGACTCTCCAGTTTCCAGTGACCTCTAACTGATGCCATTTCGTGGCCAGACTTGAAAAGTGTTAATAATGTCAACAATCATTACGAGGCGAATATGAACAGTTTCTACGCCACTTTAGCGTCATAAACTATACATTAGATAAAACACTAAGGATAAACAGATACAAAAGCGGAGAAAACAGAAAGCTTCTACTGAAGTCATCAATCCTTGAAGTGAAAGCTTTCAAACATCAATTGTTGACTTACACCGTTAATGTAGTCAAAATAATCTCAGGATGGCTTCATGTATCATTCAATCAACTATGAGAAACTAATTATTCGCTTTCCCGAAATATTTGTGTGCGTGTGTGTGTGAAATCTATATATGCAAATGCTCCTACATTTCTGCTGATAATTAAAGCAAAAAGTACAACGATAAACAGTAAAAGATACTAATCGCAATCTATCACCGCTACTTCTGTAGAATTGCTTGCATCTAGTGCCAGCACCGTATACGTAATTCTAAGGTACAACAGCATGTGTTTGGACATGTTAGAGACCACCTTTCACTAAGTGATGTCACATATCAGGACACCTGCTTCGGTGGCTTGGATATATGCCACAACTGTCGTACTAGAGGCTTTCATACCATTCACTGTTCGCCAGCCCTGGGACCAGACGAAAGAAAGCACAGGAGTGGTCAACCAACAATGTAGTGCTACGAGATGAAAGATAGTTGTGTTCGGTTAGCATCACAACTCTCTGTATAGATTCCAGTAGATAATCCGAATCAGTGGCTCCATATATTATCAGATATAGCTGAGAATTGTAATCAACGACAAACAAACAGAAGTTTCCTCTTTTCCTCTCTTTCTGAAATTTTATTTATTATTATTTAATAAAACGCAGAAAAAATTTGGTACAATATGGCACCAAGAAAGATGCTCCACACAATAATAATAAAACAACATAGATTTAAAGTAAAAATATAGGTAGAAAACGGATAAAGTACTTCATCAGGAAGGAAAACAGCCATGTTTAACAAGTTCAAACAGTATTCCTTAACTGTCATCAGGAAGGGAAGAAAGAAGGAAATTGCAACACATTCGCCATTGATTACGATTTTTGGCCATATCCGATAACGTTTCGAGCCATCGATTCGAGCTGTCTCGCTGACCCCAACCAGGGAGTCGTGACACACCAACCGATGCTAATCTAGCACAAATATCCTTCATCCCACGACGCCACGTCATGGACTGACCACCCCTTTCATTTCATTTTCCATCCCGTCCCAGGGCTAGCGAACAGAGACCTGTATGGAAGCCTCTGGAATGACATTCGCAGCACATGTCCAAGCCACCGGAGCCGGTGTTTCCAGATGACGACACTCAACGAATGGTGATCTCCACTGTGTTCAAACATACGCCGCCGAACCTCAGAATTACTCACGCGATGATGCCATCGAACGCAAGCAATCCTGCGGAGACAGCGATGATCGAACACGCAGAGTCACCGCACATCCTCAGCTCGGAAAGGCCAGGTTTCACAGGCGTAGAGCAAGACAGCCCGCACCAAAGCATTATATACCCGACCTTTGACAGCCAGATTAACGTCGCGACGGCGCCAGAGGTGGCTCAAGTTGATGTATGCCACCCTAGCCTTTATTATACGGTTGGAAATCTCATCCGTCACCCCTCCGCCAGCACTCACACAACTACCCAGATACACAAACTTATCACTAACTTCTGAAATTAACATGAAGTGATTAACTAAATGCTGTTGACAATGATGCCTGCCTGTTTTCATAATGCTGTTTGTCAATTATTCTACTTCTTTCTGATATATTATGTTTTTTGTTGTGTTATATATCTCTTGGTGCCCGTAATGTGTGTCAAGTTTACGTTTAAATAATGATCATAATAATGATATAATAATTATTGTTTATTGCTATCAACTTGGGTTCCAAGTGGAACGTAGAACTTCAACAGGACACCTCTATTTTATCCTATGTTCTCTGTGATCCTCTTAGGTTGGCTCCACGATCGCACATAAGCTTTCGTCTCCTTCTCACACGATCTCATCCACGTCGCCCTCGAACTACCAAATCACCGTTCCCCCATTCGGTTCCCACTCGAGAAATATCACTCAACTGTGCGCCCAATCCATCTCTATTTCCCTCAGCATATTTTTTGGTTCCCTCCGAGAGTGCGCTGTTGTTTAGCCTTTCCGACCACTTAATCTTCAGTATAGAGCGAAGGAAGCTGTTGATGAAAGTCTGAAGCCTGTTGTGAATACTCTTCGTGACGCATCAAATCTCTGAGCCATATATATAGAAAGAAGCACTGATTCGACATTAGATTCGAAAGTCCGGATTTTGTTCTTCACACTGAACACAACAGATTTCTACACTGATTTTAAAATAATGATGGTTTGTCTTGCCTTTCAGACTCTGCCTTTGACATAGTCATCCGTGTCACCTACAGTTGATACGATGTTGCCCACATAAGTGAAAGAAGTGACCTCCTTCAAATAATTACTAATAACAATAATAAAGTTATATATGAAAAAGAGAAGACATTCAGCGAAGAGACTCTTTTCGGCGAATTCATTCACATAGCTGTACAATCGCATTTATATATAAATATTTGTGTGTGTGTGTGTGTACATGAGTACGTCATCCAACTTATTCACTCAATTTCACTTCTACTTAATCTCTACCTGTAATTACCTCTGTTGCTATCCTGACCTAAGTTGTAACATTTTAGCCAATTATATTACGTCATCTAGTTGTTTTTTTTTTTAACTCAGTCTTACTTTAGTTGCTGTCTGATTAACTTTGTCTCTATACTACATCATTCTTGTATTAACTAATCAATTATCTAAACTTGACAAACCTCATGTACACACACACACACACACACACACACACAAATATTTATATATAAATGCGATTGTACAGCTATGTGAATGAATTCGCCGAAAAGAGTCTCTTCGCTGAATGTCTTCTCTTTTTCATATGACTCAATGGGGATTTTCAATCTACTCAAACGTTGCAAAGTTATATATCCTTGATTTTGCTTAATCTTAAACTTCAAGTATTGGTTTTGTAGGGATTTCGTTTGATTGCATGGAGGATTTCATCATGAGCTGACATCAGTTAGAGAACTACTGGAAAACCTGGTGGGTGCGTGCTGATGAAGAGTCCCAAACTAGGACGAAACAGCTGTCCAGTACTCCCAGGTTTTCCAGTGGTTCTCTAACTGATGTCAGCTCATGATGAAATCCTCCATGCAATCAAACTAAATCCCTACAAAACCAATACTTGAAAATTAATCTGATGCTCACTAGTGACTGGCCCTATTCAGGCAATTAACTTGGGGTTCTAGTGGGAAGCCGTGACCAGTAGGGTACAGCAGGTTGAAGATGAGGCAGTAACTCATCGAAGAAGACTTTGCGAAATGGTCGCGCTATGTCGTGAATTGGCAGAAGTTAGAATTCAAGGACCTTGGATCGGGTCCCAGTGGCTCAATGGTCTACGAGCTCGCCTTGTAATCAGAAGGTCGTGGGTTCGAACCCTGGCGGTGGGTGAGTACTGCTGAAGAGTCCCTAATCTTAAACTGACTATATTCTGCAGGTTAAAACAGGCCTCAACCATTGGCTACTGAATCCAGAGACTTAGCAGTAATTTGACTGGACAGCTTTTGATACCTGACTTTATATAACCAATCAAATTAGCCATTAGTAGTGTATGCATTTAATGTATTTTCAACTAATAAAGTAGTTTTTGCTTTCCCCGGTACAGGCCAGTTCTGTCTTCTGATTTTTTTTTGTGGGCTCAGTGCAGCAGGTCTTTGAGGGAGAACAATCGCCTTCGTTATTCAGTAGAATTGCCAACTGCATTCTCTTATCGAGCCCAAATTTCATTATTATTATTATTTTCATCTATAAGAAATAGTATCAAACGTAGTGAAGTATCTCAATACACTGATGATGATCATTTCCACCCCAACACACTGGAGTCACTTCTATGCATGGCAGACATAAACCATCGCATAAATGATGAAAAGCTGTTTTCTTTCTCACAATCATATCTTTACTCATCTTTTTTTGGCATTACTTGCGTTCCCAGTAGAATACAGGGCTTCAAGGTTTGCAAGTTTCACTAGTGGTGGTGTTTTTTTACGAGGTGGGGTTTCTAGCTCCACACCCAACCTTCCTTCTCTTCTACGCCTACTACTGGCTAGTCAACATTTAGGAGAGTGTCGGTCGGGAATCGAATCCAAACCTACCAGTGAACGAACATGCATTTATTTTGATCGAAAAACAAAGTTTTTGAAAAAATGTAATTCACCTTAATAAGATCAATTGGACTGGCTAAGAATTGAGCAACAGATCCAGCAATAACACCGGTTAACGCAGCACGAATCATAAAACTCAGCTTTTTATCATAAACGATTTCAGTATCTGCCTTCTCTGTGAAGTAATAGTCACGAATAGTTAGTATCTAATTAAAAACCCTCTGAATTTTGAATGTGCTCACCCAAATGATCATTGTTCTTGGATGGTTTGATAGTGAAATGACTAGCTGGTGGTAAATGAAAGACATCTTGACGAATCATTTCATAAATTGGCATTCTAGCTCCAGTATAGACTATAAAAGAATACGATTTTAAAAAGTAATTATAAAATGGCACATAAGGAAACATTTGGTATACAAAATAATTCAAAGTACATTGTGTATTTTTAAAGAGAGTTATAATATATAAACTGCATGTTACTTGTTCAGTTTTGTAAGACTGTATTACTACTGATTGATCGGGATGAGGAGTTGTATAACTCACGCATCAAGCAGTAGTGCTAGCTAGCCAAACCAGACGGCCGTTTAACTCGCGTTTAGGGCTGAGCTCATCAGCGGTATACCTATTTTGACTAGACTCAGAGAACCTGTTAAATTCAAACCACCCGACTTCTGGTTAGCTACTTGGATGAACTGGTAGTTTCATAAATCAAATTCGTAGTTGATAAATTAATTTGCCATTTCACCTGAAAGTGTGCTAACTGAAAATAAATTTGCAGATTGCGAATTTAATTGTTCGGCTGTAGTTAGTAGCACTATGTACGACTTGCATTTCGTCCTATATGTGACTCGTCACCTATTTTTACCTGATCATTAGTGAATGAAAGTGTTCCCAATGAAACACGAGATTAGCACTTGTAGTTGCAAACGTCAAAGTGTTATTCAGTAGGCCATGAGTCCCATTACCAGTCAAGTGACATCATGTTTATCTCAAAGTGTCGTTCAAGCGTCTGTACGAGGAGCCAATGTGTATAGACAGACCAAGTATTACAGTTTATTACAGTATTACAGAATCAACGGGAAAGTCAAAATAACTTCACAAATTTTAGCGAATGTATACATCGATGAAGATTTGATTGAATGAATAGTTCAATAAATACTGGGTTTAAGTTGAAAAGTAGATGTTTACAAAAGGTTACACTTCTTTAAATCTTAATATGCTTTGATTCAATTATCCAGAACACATATTTCATATGCTACGCTATAGACTAAACTTATCGTGTGAGGCCTTTTGATCCTACCCAGTTACAGATGTTGAAATAAGTAGGGCGGGACTCAAAGCTGGTTGAAAGCTGAGTTCCTTAGCCAATGAACCACATTCCGTACCCCATTTTTTCTCGTCTAATTTATCTTTTCCTTCATACATTTCTGTCTGTTATAGTTTCCCTGCATTTCTCTTTTCTTTACACCTTCTATGTATGCTTTGTGAATTGTGATGACTTGAACTACTACACTTTTGTGCATAGTTCTACGTCAGTCACTTTTGATATTAAAGATTTTAATTACACTAACATTGACTTTAACATTGACAAAATGCAGAGTCTTCTAAACACCTTGAGCTGCAATCTACGAATGTTTGGCATGCGATTCGCTCCCGCCAAATGCAAGATGATGTTACAGGATTGGACTACAGCGACTCCTAGATTAGAAATAGGAAGTGAAGTGGTACAGCACGTTGACCGCTTTACTTATTGGGGAAGTACCATCCGCCAGTGCCAACGGGTTGATCTCTGACGAAATCTCAGCACGAATACAGAGGGCTAATTTCACATATGCTAGTTTACGCCGTCTTTAGCATAGACGTGATATCCGGCTGGCTATCGACCAAACGGTGTGTGTACTGCTCATCAGTCCGCCCCGTCCTCCTTTATGGCTGTGAGCGAGGCCTGGCCATTGAGAGTGGAAGACATGAAAGGATTAGCTGTCTTTGATCATAAGTGCCTTTGTTGTATCTCCCGTGTGAAGTGGTAAAATAGGGTGAGCAATATTGAGGTTAGGCTTCAATCGAGCACTAGGTAAGGAGGGAGGGGAAATCATTCGACGAGGCTGTGAAATTACATCGACTGAGATGGTTGGGACATGTGTTACGTATGCCTAGTCATCGCCTTCCTCGACGGGCAATGTTAGCTGATATAGGGTCAGGCTGGAAGAGAGCTGGCGGCAGTCAAACAAAAACATGGCACCAGTCAATGAAATCCACAACAGTTAGTTTAAGCCATGTAGGAAGGTGTAGACTTCCAGACCGGTTGGAGTCCTCAAGACAGTAAAAACCAATGTTTGGAAACAATTGGTGACATGGCTCAAAATCGTTCTCAATGGCTGGTGCAGATGCATCCACTCCTTGTGACTTATGATTTCCAATGAAACTATATTGTTCTTCGTTATTACTATTCCTTTGTCTCACACCTCTGTTTACTGTCTATATTATGCATTTCTCCTACCTTCTTCTCTTGCTTTGTGTGCTACATGGAGTGTGGCGACTTGAACTGCCGCACATCAGTGCAAAGTTCTATGTCGAAAACAGACAGACAGACAATTAAATTAACAGAAAATTTCTCAATGAGTATACTTTTAAAAGCACATCTGTTCCTACATTTCTTTATTTTTAATGAAATCAATACCGTAGTTCGTTGATAAGAGCCACACTACAAAATGATGGAACACTAAGAAGCATTAATCACAAGGGCAAAAAACCCTAAAGTGCGTGCACCACAAGTGATTCTTCTTTGTATGCACGAAATTGTTTTAGAAATAGGACAACATCTAAAAAGATAATAAATAACTGACTAGAACAACTATAACTTTCACCAGGTTACTATGAAAAACATGTTACACAAACTTGTTAAAAGCCAGTATTCATAGTATTATGTTCGCTCTGAAAATAGCGTTTTAATAAACTCCTATTAAAATATGTGCTGGATGTCATGCTTCATGCAATATGTCAACGAAATGTAATCAAACTAATGAATGTGTGAGACATAAACACTGGGGTAGCACGCTATTCTATATTAATTTGTTTATTGAATATATCGAGCATTGATTGGAACAATATTATCTACTGGATGACTTTATGAACACAATTTACTACCCATAGTCATATCAATGTATTCACTGAACTTTCTGTCGTGATTTATATGGTTCTACTTGCTCTCTAATATCTACGATCGGTGTCACATCGTTCCTCTAACGTGTTAACTATTAGTGACATGAGCAAAGGATTCTATGATCAACCTTTATGATCATCTATAATATATATATATATGCTAATTCTTACTGTTATTACATACCCCCATCCTATTGTGTTATTGTATCCAATGGCTGGATTCTTTGCCATGTTACCGAGGGAGGTTTATGAATTACATGGGTATACAGGTCATACCCAGTGGAACATAAGGCTTCAAGCTACAGACATGAAGTTTCGGTAGCAGTGGTATTCATTTTCACGGGATGGGGTTGCTAGCCTCATGCTCAACCTTTCCTCTTTACCAGTCTTACTGCTGGCTTAGCGAGGTAAAGAAGTGCGTCGGTCGGGGACCTGCGTGGTTGACAAGCATTCTACAGCTGTGCCAACGCACTTCTTTACCTCGCTAAGGCAGTAATTAGACTGGTAGAGCGGGAAGGTTTGGCATGAGGCTAGCGACCCGACCCCGTAAACATAAACCCTGCTACAGAAACTCCAAGCCCCTAGCTTGAAGCCCTATGTCCCACTGGGAACGTGAAGGAATAAAAAAACAGGCCATACCCAAAAAGCATGACACTTATTGACTGTATTAAGAAGGACTAAAGAATTTGAAAATGAAAGGTGGATGAATTAAAGCCAAAACATTTCAGTCAATTTAAGACAGCACATTACGCCTGAAGGTGTAAGACATGTTGCTACACTATTCAAATACATTAGAATGCGTCCGAATACTAGTTCATTCATAATCCTATATCTTTTGAATGACTTCATAACATCTCTAGCTTTTACTTAAGATATTGTATGATGAACCACGTGATGATGATGGTAATTCTATTAATTAGTTGTGGTATCCTTTTCTTTTATATTATTTCAACAAAGTCATTAAAACCATAATTTTTGCAAGTCAGACAGCAATGAAGCAGGTGTTTTTAAATGACTCATTTATTGAAAATTCTCATTAAGTCTACAGTACATCTACATAACTGTTGGCACATTAATCAAATAAAAAGAAAATGTTAAGTAGTTCAGTGAAAAATTTCTTTTCGACGAGTTCATCCACATACCTGAATAATTGGTCTTATACACAAACCACTTGCCCTTCATTTCATTTAAAGAACTAACAAGCATCCTCCATTCACATTAAACTAGTATACAGCGTAATATTTCTATATGTTGCTGCTGCTGCTGCTGGATTCAACATAGAACTTGGCACCGAAGTGCAGCAGTTCGAGTTGCCACGTTCCAAATAGCACACAAGGGTAGACAGGAAAATGAGAGAAGAGAATCAATAGAATTTAGATAAGTATAAGAGTGAAACAGAATGAGTAATGGTAGAAAGGAATATGAAGGTTAAAGAGACTGAATACATCTGCGTAAGCCATTGACAACGATTTTGAGCCATGTCACCTATTGTCTCCAGCCATTGATTCTTAGAGTCCCGAGGACCCCAACCCGGAAGTCTCAGTTTAACTGTCAGGGATTTCATGGATTGATGCCATGTTTTTGTTTGTAATTTTGTTAAATAACTTTTGCTTAGTGTTTCATTAAGTCAAAAATAAAGAAGCTTATGCCATCGTCTAAGCTATTAGAAAATGGCGTCATTATTTACTTGGTACTCATTTCCAACTCATTACAGACCAACGATCAGTTTCTTTCATGTACGATATGAACCACCATGGGAAAATAAAGAATGACAAGATTCAGCGTTGGCGAATAGAACTTTCTCGCTACAGTCTTGATATAATCTACCGTTGTGGCAAAGAAAACAAAGTCGCCGATGCATTATCTCGCGGATATTCTGCTTCTGTCATGGGTGAAACTAATCTGAAAGACCTACATAACTCTCTGTGCCATCCAGGAGTTGTTCGCCTTCTTCACTTTGTGCGTTCTAAGAACCTACCTTTTTCTGTTGATGATGTGAAGAGGACGATATCTAGTTGTGCAGTTTGTGCTGAGCTGAAACCCAGGTTTTGCAAAGTATCCACAGGAA